GCTCTCCGCATCATCGTCTGCCATGTTTGGTGTTTTTCTTGCCGCTTCTGCGTAGCAAGACGCAGAATAGTGAACTTTGTTGGGTATTAAGGTCGGATGAATCCGACCTGGCTGTTCAGACACAGGTCGCATTTGAAAAGATCGGATTCAGGACCACACAGCCAAGTGGCCTGGGTCGCATTGGAAAAAATCGGATCTGTGTCGTTCAGACTGCCATTAAAAGATCGGATCCAGGTCGCATATGGGCAAAAATATCTGATTTAGGTCACTTCAGGCTGCAGTGTGAACGTAGCCTAAATGTAAAACAATGAGACATGCCTCTTGTCAAGCATGTGTTTGCTACTATTTAATGTAGACCTATTATATTCGATAAGTTTGTCGATCAGGTTCAGTCTTGTTAGACTAATGGCTTAAAATGATCCAATAGATCGCCAAGGTCGACATCGTCACCAGAACGCACATCGAGTGGCAGCAGGAGAACTGCTACCCTTCAGAGCCCGTGTTTGTTGGGTCTCCAGGAGCCGTGGAGGAAGACGATGGTGAGGGAAACTGAACGAACCAGACGGATTATTGTTATCAGCTTTTCTCTTTCTGATCACGGCTTCTTTGTCTAGGAGTCATTCTGTCATCCGTTGTGTCTTCGGATCCGAACGTTTCACCTTTTCTGCTCGTCCTCAATGCCAGGACCTTTGAGGAGATCGCCCGGGCCTCCGTCCCAGTCCCCGTCCACATGGACCTTCATGGGATGTTCATTCCCAGCACAGGAAGCCAAGAAAGCAGTTAGAATGATTATTCCTTTTAAAGATATGCTACATCATGAGGAACGCGGAGACCGTGAGGTTGCCTTGGAAATGAAAATGGGAAACAAACTGGAAAGTTTTCATTGTCATCGGACGTGAATCCATGTTTTCAAGGAAAAGTCCGGTCAGTACTTTAAGTACATCCTGTTCAATAAATGATCAGTGTTTTTAATTCAGAGTAATTTTCATGGAGGCATCCATGTTTGTCAAAGAACACTACTGCCACCTACTGGTTTGTGACGTCACAGTGCGGTATCGGCTGTTGATCAAGTCCCAGTGCTGTATCTGGTGTTTGTCACAACGCGCTATTATCCAAGTCATCTTGAAAACATTCTTCTTCCAAATGTTGGCTATATTTTATGTGTTTTTTTCCTGGCCAGAAGTTCGATGGCAAATCCTCCCTCTTCAAGTTGGCAA